AGTAACTTTAACGAATGTTACAGTATTCACTGTAGTTGTCCGCTAGTAAAAACATAGTTTTATCTGTCATTATCCGTGTATGCCAGTGTTTTTCGTTTACTACAGTTCAGTGGATCAGGAGGCGCTGGCTGGTGTGGCTGAGTGGAGGCGGGACTAATTTGCATATTCATAGATCCGCGTATAGAAAATGAGGCAAGGGTGTTGACTGTAGAGTTACAGTCAAGCTATTTTAAGGCATGAGAAAATTATTTTCACAAGAAAAAACATTTAAATATGTCATTTTGATTATCAAAGATAAGTTTTAAGGGATAAAATATTTGACTACAGGGGGACTTTAACATCAAGTTTCAACAGGAATAATTTAGTAAAACATTTACATTTTTAGGGAATGTATAGTTGGTTATAGAGCAATATGACAGTGTTACATACAGTATGAGGAGCTTCACAGAAATGAGCTACCCTTCCCTTTTCATCCAGGAATGCCAAGCAGATGCCCACAAGTGTATGTGATGCACTGAAAGAAGTATTCCAGAAAGAGGGTGGCATGTCTGAAAACCAGGCACAGGAGATGCTGGATGCCATGGAGAAAGCCAAACGATTTCAAAGTGAAACCTGGTCCTGATCTCTCTATTAAACCCATAGCCTTAATAACCAACAGCCTCAAGTGTGAAAGTGAGTTTGGACTGAGATGAATGGTGTAGAGCAGTGATGGGCAAACTTGACCCTTCCAGGCCACTTTCCTGCATCACCTGCCTGTAGCCTTCTAGTAGTCTTGAAGACAATGATTAGTTGGTTCAGGTGTGTTTGATTAGGGTTGGAGCTAAACTCTGAAGGAAAGTGGCCTGGAAGGGCCAAGTTTGCCCACCCCTGGTGTAGAGTATATAGTGCTTTGATTCCACCAAGTTTGAAAGATGGTCAAAACTCAGTTGTGGTCCGACCACTTTTCTTCTCCCAAGTTGTTCCCCACTGCCTTTGACAATGCAACTGGGACCTGTAAGTGTATATGAACACACACACAATACCAGACCATGAATTTGGTTTGATATTAGCTGTAAACTAGGCGGTTACTGCTTCCAGTTTTGTTGTATAACATTTGATTAACTGAAGGATAAAGTGATGGAGACTTTAAACCAAAGTTGAAAATATATATATATATATATATATATATATATATTTTTTTTTTCATCAAATAAATCTTGAACGAAATATATATCCATCTCACACTGGTATATTCTACATTAGTGGTTCTCAACCAGAGGATCTCCGCAGACGGTCAAGGTGGACAGAACATAAAGATCTTAAAAATAGCGTATACAGGGGGAGGTGAATATTGTGTTGGACAATGAGGGGCCTTGGAGTCACTGTCATACAAAGACTGTTCCAAAATATTAGTTTATTCAAGGCAAAATACAGCATATGGTTCAGATAAGAGTTTTCTGTTAACAGCTGTAAATTCACACATGTAACATTAACTAGTAGATTTTAAATAGTCATATAAGTTATTAAAAGGTTTTACACACACCATTCAGTGCCATAGACTCAAACTAAACTGATTAAACGGTCTTAAAAAGGTAAGTTCACCCCAAAATGACAATTCAGTCATCAATTACCATCATTTTCTTTCATGTTCACCAGAAGTCAGTCAGTCATACAGGTTTGGAAAAAAAATTGTGAGATTGTGACAATTTAAATTTTTCAACTATCCTTTTGAGTCTTCAGCACAGCCCCTGAATAAAATGAAGCAGTGTGTGTGGTCTACATTTTTTCTTGATTGCTTCTATCATATTTATTTCCACTGTGATGAAACCAGTCAGACAGAAGACTTCAAACTGAGAATAAACTGGAGTGTGACACTGTTTGAATATCTGAAAAACTACCATTCGCCACTTTTACATTCAGATTCATAATAGCAAAGAGCCCTATCTGTCATATAACAAACTCTAGACGTCAAGGAAAACTCCCCTGCTTAAAATCCCAAGGTCACCAAGTCTTGTGCCTCTTTTTAAATACGGTAATCACATTGGCAGTAACACGTAGCTTCTTGTGTAGCTAACATTGATCTTGACTTGCTTTCACATTATTGGCTTCTGAAGAAACACATAAAACCCCCCTCGTTCAGTGCTCGCAGCTATCTGAGCGCTAGAGTGTGGACCTGATAGATTTCCTCAGGGAAGTTCTGCTGCTGCTCCTCACAGATGATGTTGAGTCCGGCCCGGGCTACTAGGCGATGTAGTACATTCAGGTCCCGACACATGCTGCTGTCTACATCATCAGGTATTACACCTTCATACGCAACATTATCCTTCACCACAATCAGGCCATCTGGACGCAGACCGCTCCGGCAACGCCTCAGGAATTCCACCAGGTGGTCATCGGTCAAGTGACCTAATGGAAGATTCATTTGGTCATTTTAACCATTCCTATTAGTAACAATTTTAGAAAACTTATCATAGATAATGTAGTAAAAGAAGTGAATTACATGCCTTACCGATCACCCACTGGATCCATATGACATCGTAGCGTTCTGGCTGGGGCTGAAAGTCTTGTAGGCCACAGCAGAAGTAGTTCTCCACTCGCTTGGCTTCCTCACCCAGATAGGTACGAGCTTTATCCAGAAACTCCTGTGTCACGTCCACTAGATCCACTGTACGGAAGAGGGGCATGAGCAGCCGCTTGGTGATACGGCCAATTCCAGCACCACAGTCCAGAGCACAGCCTGTCCCAGTCTTACCCTGGCCTTCCTTAGAGTAAAATATGAAACCAAATGATTGTGTTTCTCATGTACTTTTATTTGTGATTAGGTGAAAAGTTGAGTAACTGTGGGAAATTATATTCCTGTGTGCCTTATATTCCTTTCAAATTAGTGATGTGTCGTTCGCGAACGAGCCAGCTCTAAGAGCCGATTCTTTGTAGCAAATGAGAAGAGCCGACTCTTCAACCGGAGCCTTCTATTTTAGGCCAGTTTAGCAATTGTGAATGGTTTGTGTGTTGCAGTGTTAATTTCGTCAACGAAGACGACGACGAAAAATATTCGTCAACGAACATTTTTTCTGTGACTATGACGAGACATTGACCAGCTAAAACTAATATCTGATTATAAAAACTATGACGAAATTTATGCCGCGTCTTCATTAACAAGATGAGACGGGACTATAATGTTATTTGAGGACTACCAGACATTCAAAATTCATCCTATAGGCTACTGTCTAGTCCTTCAAAATGTGTGTCCCTGTCATTGGATTGCAATCGGATAAGGGGCGTTCGCATATCTAGTCTCAGTATGGCAGCCGCAGTGGATGGATAGGCTACCAAAATGCAAACTAGCGATCTGAAACAATGGCCTCAGCACCCGAAGGGGTAGGAATAAGGTGACCAGACGTCCCGTTTTTCCCGGGAGTCACAATTCGTTGTCGATTAAATTAAAGTTAGTGAAGGCGGGATAGGCGGAATCATGCTGATAGAAGTGCTCTCTCTCGCGCACGCTCCACTTCTTCAGTTCTCATATACAGTGCGCGATCAGTTCTCAGTGCTCAAATACACACACAGCAGTCCAAATGTCTATCGTGTAGAGTATCTCACGTGAATACAGTCGGTTATGGATTAAGTGAACGTAAACAGGTGGGTGAAAACTGAACGTGTGCCAGTATTACATACATGACTTCAGTCTTAAAGGGACAGCATTCATAATTAAGTACCTATCCGTGTCATTAATGTTAACCAACAAAAGATGTTAAATAAATAT